TCTTTGGACCAATCAGGCTAAGATAAAACCCACACGTGACCACTCCCTCCCCCACTCCGAAAATAGACATTCAGGTAAGACCAACGTCCTTTCTCTCCCGATTCCGTCAAGCCCGCAGTAATTCCCAATGGTTATGCATTAGCCGCATGTGCGGCTAATAGTGAGGGTACCAGAAGCTGGTAAAATTCTCCCTAGAACTGATAGATGGTGACAGTTGGACTTTGAGAATATATTTATTCTGATATTTTTGGTAATAAGATCAATATTTTATATTATTTTCTTTTAAAAACTCATCATCAAACAGCAGTAGAATATAATATGATTATAACCACCTCGGTAGAACAACTTTCCAGATTTTGATAAGATGAATAAATATGCTTTGAATTTTGTAGCTAGGTATTACCATATGCTGCAACATTATAATGAAAATAATTCTGCAAATACGTAGAAATACTATTTTAGTGTTTACTGCAGTGTGATAATGAAGAGAGAAATAAAACATTGTGACATTCTTCTTCTCAGCTAATAATGACAACTTCAAATGCTGCTGTGTAACATTCTCATGACAAAAGATAAACTAATTTTTAGTGTTCTCTATCTGTACTGCAATGGAGGAAACACTTTCAAAGTCAGATAATATACTACAAATCAAACACCATACTGTAGATTTTAATTGTTTTACACATACTGGTGAATATAATGGTATTAATTTTTACGTTCTATTGTACAATTGTACAATGTTTCTTTTCTTTTGAGGTTTTCTATTTTTAAATTTTCTTTAGCTTAAATGTTTTAATTGTACACTGCCCAGAGTTGTTCTGTGATAGAGATGGGTCTGACCTAAATTTGGTAAGTAAATAAATAAACAAATGCTTGATTTCTGTGATATCTTGTAATGGACAGATACTGTGGTGTTTTCAACTTCTAAAAACAATGGGATATTTGGTATGATAATACATGCTTTACCTGTTGCATTCATTCAATGTACTGTTTAATAACATGGAGTCAGAGGTGGCATGCTGCCAGTTCGCAGCGCTTCAGGCGAACCGGTAGTGGTGGCAGTGTGAGGCACCGCCCACCCACCCAAACGACATCACAGATCTTCTGCGCATTCATGCTCCTGCTACCAAACTGATAGTGAAGATAATAGGATACCATTTCTTCATGAAGTGCCTATCTCAAGGCCCTCAATCATTTTGAGTCATGCTGGGCATTGACCTTAGTTTTCACCTTTGGAATAACTTGATCTCAATACAATACAATACAATAGCAGAGTTAGAAGGNCATCACTGGGAATTCCTCTGTCCTAGGATGCTTCTGTTTTCTCCTGAAGCAGGTGCTCCTGCTGAAAATTGTACGTTGGAGATAAAGTAAAGAAGTTATATTACTTCCCCCATCACAGTCATGGTCTTAATATAAACTTGGATGTTACAGTGCTAATTGCAGTATCTTCAGTTTCAGTTCAAACAAGTAGTTAAAGTACAAGTGCTAATGGATGCTATTATGAAGGGAAAAGCAAGAAATACAGTGGATTATTAGCCTGATTACTACCCTGGGAACATGTCATCCAAACAGCATTGACTTGTGATCCCTTCAGAAATAGAGAGAATCTATGGCATGCTATGAATGGGTGAGTAGCCAGGTGGAAAAAAGAACTGTATAATAAACAATATGCTTTTTGTCTCCCATCCTCTGTAGTGTGTTTTGCATCATTGCCAAAGACTTCAAAACAATAATAGTACCTGCATTGCAGCTTGCTAGTGAGTTAATCACAATTCCAGGATACTTAACATAAGCAAATATTCACTTAGCAGGGCCTCACGTTAGATTACCCCCTAATGGTATAAAGAAATAGTGACAAGTGGAACTGACTCAGAGACCTTGATGCCAAGTACAATATGACCATCATTTGCTCCTAGAGCAACTGAGTCTGTTTTTTTTAGCATCACCTGGCTCTGGCAATATCAATTGCAATCTTCTGGGTCTATCTTTTCTATTTTGGGGGGAAAATATTTCTCCCTTTTCCATGCATAATGTTCATATGCTCAAAGTACATACAAAAGATCCGGTACAATATTATAATGCATTTGCCCTCCAATATATATAGCAAAATCTTATACAATTTCATGCATCATACAAAAGAAGGATATATGCATTAATTTACTTGAGTTCTTCCTAATGTAGTTTAAAAAAAGATTTTTGGCAGCTTACGGTCTTATCAAATTACATTAAAACATCCATGGAATAAAACAAAAAGAAATATACACTGTATGTAAGAAAGCTACCATAAAATATAATAGGTGAAAAATGATTAAAAATGCAACCAATAAATTACAACATTCTTTGTTCATGCCCCCCTCTCAATAATTTCCAAAAAGGCAATAAATTTGTAATTCTTGCATTTTATTGTATATATTTTTAAATGATCTGAATTATAGCTTATATTTACTTTATCATGCTTGCTATTTTTGTTTCATATCTATCTATCTATCTATCTATCTATCTATCTATCTATCTATCTATCTATCTATCTATCTATCTATCTATCTATCATCTATCTATCTAAATATCTACAGTTATGACTATGCTTAACCTTTATGTTGCTATTTACTCACATTTTGATTTTGCAATGATGGACATACAACAAATTACAAATAATATTTTAAGGATTTATTTTATATAAGGACTTATTCATTACAAATTCATAAGTATCATGTTTGTAAAGGATAAGGATAAGGAAGCCATGTTGGTTGATATTTGTGTGATATCGTTAGTAAATCATTTAGGTTTGCAGTTAAACAAAGATACAAAAAGGAAAAAAAAAATTAAAGTAGAAAGACAATAGTGCTATAAGAACCTTCCAGAGTCTATATAAGAAGCAGATTTAAATCTTTAAATGCTTGAAATAGAAATCACTTCAAATGTGAATAAGCTCTACTAAATTACATAGGATTTAATTACAAGAAAATACATAATGCAACTGTATGGCTGCATTCTTCTGCTACTTAAGTAAAAGTTTAAAGGCAGTACGGGCATAGTTCTGGGACTTAGGAAATCAGTAATGTTCACAGGGTGGCTTCCATCAGAAGAGATCCAATGCTTGGAAATTTAGCACTGAGTTAATGGATGTGCAGAAGAAAATCTTAAAGAGATCCCAAGTTTCCAGTTAAGCAATAGCAATAGCAGTTAGACTTATATACCGCTTCATAGGGCTTTCAGCCCTCTCTAAGCAGTTTACAGAGTCAGCATATCGCCCCCACAGTCTGGGTCCTCATTTCACCCCCCTCGGAAGGATGGAAGGCTGAGTCAACCTTGAGCCGGTGAGATTGCATTTCTTGGCAATCTTCTAAGTGCTGAAGATGCTAGTGCTTAACTGGAAACT